ATGAAAGGGAAGAAAGCCAACCCCAAACAAATATAAAGATATTAAGATAAAGAATGAATTGTTAAACTTTAAAGAATAAAAGAGAACAAATATGAATAAATAATAATTAGAAACACACATACAAACATACAATGTATTTTCTTTGAACAGAGTATTTGGCTGGTTCACAAATTTAAACAGTGTTTGGTCATTTCAATTAAATTTACAATTTCTGTATTTCCTTTTTGCCATTTTTCCCTTCTATTCTATATTATACCCCTTCCCATTGTCATCTATTTTTATATCCATCTTCACATTGGTTAATTATGTAATATTAGTTGTTTAATATAAATTCAACATTTTAATATAAATCAATTAGTTATATAATTACCTTTTTTGTATATTAATCAATATGAACATGAATATTCCAATTATTTCCATGCAATCCAATTTGTTACAAATCAATTAATTATGTTTACCAATAATAATAAACCAAATAATTTCCCCCATATATTCCTCCAAACCACAACTTAACTATTTCTGCTTTCAGAAATATACAATTAATAGTATCTCAATTATTACAATTCCCTAGTTAAATAGAGCTTTTTTTCTTTTGTGTTTTAAAATCCTGAACTCTCCTCTTTTTCCCTAAATTTCCCATTGTTTGCACCTACCTTTTTTGGTGAAGAAAAAGAAAAGAATTCTGCCTGCCTAATTTTCCAAACTTGCAGCAACAGCAAAGCAGTTTCAGTTTTGTTTCTCAGCGTAGCTAGGGGGAAAAAAATCAGCACTCTTTGCAAGGAAGCAGAAGAGCCCTGAGCAAAACAGCTGAGACAAATCAGCTGAGAGCCGGGAGGCCAATTAGCCTATGCTGAAGCTCCGTGGGCCAATAAAATTACAAAAAAACCCACCGAACCCTTTGTTAAATTGCTGGCTCCCCCGCCCCTCGCCCACCACTATTTATTGGCAATAAATAGTGGTGCGGAGGGGTGGGGCAAGCCAGCAATTTAACAAAGGGTTCGGCTGCACCACTGGCTCTAGGGCGGCCCTTTGAAGCCCCGCGGCAAGAATTTGAAGTTTTTTTTTCCTCTAGCCATCGGAGGCAGCAATAGATGGGGAGTGGGCGGGGTAAGCGAACGGCCGGCGATCCAACAGAGCAGAGAGTGAGGGTGAGTGAAGGCGTGGAAGCTGCTTTCTCCATCCTGCTCTCTTGCGTCCGGAGCCGGTGGGGAACCACGTGGCAGCCCATGTGGATCCCAGGCCACGGAACTCAGGCTAGGGAAGGGGTGGGCAATGGTGGCTCTTTTACAACCTGTGGCCTCAACTCCCAGCCAAGCTGTCTCAGGAATTCTGGAAGTTGAAGGCCACAGGTTGTAAAAGAGCCACAATTGCCTACCCCTGGCTACGGTAGGCTGGCGCCGCGTGGGTGGGAGGCGAGGGGTGGGCGAGCCAGCAATTTAACAAAGGGCTCGGCCGAACCCCCTAGAACCCCCAGAATCCCACCACTGTGTAGGCCCCTCTTGATCTTGAGGCCCTAGGCTGAAGCCTAGTTAGCCTATAGGAAAATCCGGCCCTGACCCTCTGGAATAAACTAAAAAATACTACTATTGATAAATACCTCCTCTATCTCATATAAAAACTATATTCTAACTCCACCTTCAAAGTAAGGTGTAACCCATAAGGGACTTTATCTGGCTCAATAAGTGTACAAAGAGGACTACATCAGGGATAAATACATTTAAGTGCTTTGGGGTGGTTTTCCATAAGAAAGGTATTTGGAACCACATGATGCAATCAACTGTTAGATCTTCAAATGCTATCAAACACATTTTTTACATGGGTGGAGGACAATTAGTCCCCATAGCCTTAAAACAAGTTGAGGCTAAAAAACTGAGACAAATTCTCTATGAGGAACAAGCAAGATTTTTTTTTGAAGAAAGAATCTTTAGAAACCAAACAAATAAAATTTCTGCGATCCATTTTCACTGCACCTAACAGGACATCAAACGCCCAGTTGAAAATTGAGGCAGGAATACCAAATTCAGGTAAGGGCCTGGTTGAAAATTCCATTCTTCCCAGAGGGCTTGACCCCTTTAGTCCTGATAGACAACGTCCCCTCTTCCTGTAAACAAGCGATAGAGCATAAGTTGGCCTTCTATGGACCTTCCCCACTGTTTTTAATATCCCTATGATCAAGCCAAGCAAGTGGTTATCAATAGAATAAGAGACATGAAGTTCCAGCTAGAATTTAACAGGATATCTCTCTACAGCAGAAATCAGATTAAATGGGATGTTTGGGAACCAGCAAGGTGTCTGGAAGACCTGATTTTTCCTAAGAACAGAATAGCATTTTTTAGAGCTAGACCTAATATCCTCCCCTTAGCACTCCTGCAAGGCAGGTATGATAAAACCCCAATAGCTGAGCGAATGTGTACATGTGGCAATGGGGAAGTTGAAGATATCTCACATGTCCTATTGCGTTGCAAGTTCTACAGGTACATCAGATCAATGTATATCCTCCCTCTGTTGGAGAGATTTCTAGGGAGATCAGATAATTTCCATGTGCACCATCTCCTTCAGGATTCGAATCCAGCTACCATTCTTGCAGTAGCAAAATTTTGTGCTGCTGTAATGATAATAAGGAAAAAACACCTAAAGATTCATATTATTACTTTGCTTAGTTATTTTCCAATAATTTTTAGAGAACATATTTATTTTAATATTTAATTCTTGTGCTGGTCTGTAACTGTAATAAAGATTGATTCTGATTCTGCCAAAATTTTGATCACGTGACTTTGGGCATGCTGCAATGGTCATAAGTGTGAAAAACAGTCATGTTTTTCAATGACGTTATAACTTCAAACGGTCACTAAATGAACTGTTGTAAGTCAAGGACTACTTATATACAATTACTGTATAGCTAGAAAGAAACACAGAACAGTGATGAGATGTGACGGAGAACTGGGAAAACAATTAACAATGGATTGGCAGGTTTAATCACAATTTGCTACTGACTAATTTATAAACAGGGATTTAAACAAAGTCTATTCATTTATCATTATTTTCTCATATTGTGTGCTCCATGTCTGTAGTGATCATGTGTCCTCATTATAAAGAATAGTCCTTTATTTCAGAAAGCCATTCTTTAGATTATTTTTTTTACAAGTTTTATTGGTTCCCCCCAATACACACCCGCATATTTTTTGAAACAGAGCATTAACTGTATCACATCATATCATATACAATTTATCATATTCAAATATATTTTACTTTGTTACAGTTTCTGCCAAAGTGTTCTTTTTCCATATTTATTAATCAACTTTTAATTTTTCTTTTCTTATTTCTATAAACAGTATCTTCTTTCACCCTCAAATTCTATTTTTCCCATTCTTAATAATTTTCCATTCTCCTTTAATTTTTTAAAATAGTTCATTCTTTATCTTGATATATTTAAACGTATTCAGGAATGCCTTTCCTCCATTTCATCTTTTTTGATTTACAGCAATCTTTCTTCTCTTTCTCTTCCTTTCCCTCCCTTCTTTCATCCTTTTTACCTTCATCTTCCCTCCTCTCCTATTCCTTCTCTACTTCCCTTTCCTTTTTCTCCCTCCTCCTTTCCTCCCCGCTATTTAACCTTCTCTCCTACTCTTATTTCCCTTTCCTGTCTTCCTCTCCTCTTCCCTTTCTTCTGCTCCTCTCTCTCCTTCTCCCTTCCTTCAATCTCCCTACTCCTTTTTCTGTCTCTCTCTTTTGCTATTTTTATTTTCAATTCAGTGCTTTTGCTATGGTCCAGGCATCCCCGTTTTTCTTCTCTTTATATCATATATTCGTCAAGATTTCCATCATATTATTAAAATTCTTAACATTGTATTTCCAACTTATTTCATATTTACCTTAAAATCTTTTCAATTTAATTAACTTTCCACCCTTATTTTCATTTAATAGTTATTTTTCTTTTTCCCTATCATTTCAGTTACTTCCAATTATTTTTACATTTGGACCATTCTACATCTGCTGGTCCACTTACAACATTCTTATATTATTTATCTAACATTTCAATTTCATTTAGATTAATAATTTAAAAAAACACAATTTGTCATTTAACTTTTAATCTACAAACAGTACCACTTAACACAGTCTTTCACATTCATGTAAAAATATGGAAATTGAATTGCTTTTTTAAAAATAAATGTACATATTCTGTTTGATTGTAGATATTTTTCTTAGAATATACATTTTTGTAAACTTTTCCTTTGTTTTGCTCTTTAAATTTTTTTGGTAAACTAAGTTATAAACATAGCAATTAAATATTGTTATCCTTATATGAACCCCTTTTAGATTTGCCCCTTTTTCTGGTTTGTCCTTTATTTTTTCGAACAAATTGTGGTTACTGTTGATATGCTTCAAAATGAGGTTAAAAAGAAGTTTGCAAGGAGTAAAATAGTAGGATCTGTGCCTTAGTTCAGGCCTGATACATTTCTATAAATCCAGAGTAAAGCTCATTAGAAAATGGAATGAAAAGCTGCTGCTAAGATGGAAGAAAGGAACAATCAACCCATATCTACTTTCAAGCATCTAAACTATGATTTGGACTTGGGTTATTACTTAACTGTTAATGTCAGTAAGATTCATATAAATAGTTTAAACTTTTATGTCTTCAGACAAGAAAGCTAATATTTTGTACTGAATAAAGATTTGTGATCTAGCTGCTATGTATGGAAAAGGCTGAGGACAAATATTTGTAATGAAAAATAAAAGGAAGAAGGAATGCAAAACTTTCTCTATAATACAGCAAAGAAAATACCATTGCCCTTTACTGGTAATATTGTCCTCTATTAAGATATGAATCACCTGTTCAACAGCTATTCTGTTAAATATCACTCTAGCAGTAGTGGAGAGAAATGCCATGAAAGGACAGTGTTCCATAAAGTGAATCATGCTGCTGAGTTCATCAGTTTTATTTTTAACAGTCCATGTCACATGGATCCATTTCAGTTATTTTATTTCCTGCCTCCTCAGATTTCTTTGTGCAGTGTTTTGCTCCAAGCATTCTCCGGCCATTTCAGCTGAACTGGATAAATCCAAGAGAACTTTATGTATATGAAAAGAGATTGTACATTTAACGGTAAGACTTTTTTAAAAAACCCTTTTGAACAGAAGCTGAAAGATAAACCCTATATTGTTATGTCAAAATCACCATCAAAAAGAATAACTTGCAGTTAATTTGCAAATTGTTTTGTCCAAATATTTAGACTATTTTGAAGCTTGAAGGATTGATTAAAGTTGGGACTGCAGGTTTACAAACTATACTTCCACTAGAAAATAAGAAATATATATCAAGTTGATTAACTGAAGAGAGATATTAAGCATTAACCTATTTGAGCTAACCGCTTCAGATACTTACCTCCCTAAATCCCATCAGCAGTTGCACAGTTTATGTATAAGTTTACATGTAGTCTCAAAGTTTACTTATCTTGGTTATTTTTTTTTCTGTCCTGTGTTTATTCTACTTCCGTCAACAGATGATAGTCAGCCTAAGGTATGATCTCATCTTTAGAATCTGTTTTCAGTGCCAGGGCTCCCTCCCTTAGGATATTAAATCAAAAGAAGGCCAGGAGTGCTCTTATTTCTCTTCTGATCAGCTTAGAGCCAGAGTGGACAGAATGATAATGTAATGACATCACACAATTGTTAGCATTGGAATGTCAGTGGTTGTGCATTGTTTTTGAAGTGTGTTACTGTGATTTATATACCATTCTTGTTTTATGACAAATACCATGGAGAAATTGTATTTTATTTTTTGGGAATTTGTCACCACTCATCCAAGATGAAATTTCTGGGAGGAAGTGGGTTGGGAACATTTAAAAAAAGAGCTTTTATACTTGCATCTAGCCCTCAACCTGTCTATCTTTGTATCAAATAATAACAAGGAATCTTAGTAAATGAAAAAAAAAACTTTGTACTAAGTAATAATGATGATTTATAATGAAGGGGGCACAATGGTTCAGATTAAAGACATTGAACTTGTCAGCTGGAAAACTGACAGCCTGGTTTTGAGACCGGAACTGTGTAATGGGCTGATCTCTTATTACTTGCCCCAGCTCCTGCCCACCTAGCAGCTCAATAGCATGCAAATGTGAGTAGATAAATAGGTACCATTTCGGTGGGAAAGTAACAATCACTTAAGTATGAGTCAGCAGTATGCTGCAGATGCCAAAAAGGCCAATGGAGTCCTAGGCTGCATCAACAGAGGGACAGCATCAAGATCACTTGAAGTTATAGTACCATGTTATATTGTACTGGTAACAGCAAACTTGCAATATTGCATCTAGTTTTGGTCATCATGGTACAAAAAGACATTGAGACTCCAGAAAGAGTTTAGAGAAGAGCAACAAAGATGATCAGGGGTCTGGAGGTTAAACGGTTGCAGGAACTAGGTATGTTTACCTTAATGAAGACAAGGAGCAGGAGTGACATGATATCAGTCTTCCAATACTTGACAGGCTGTGACAGAAAAGAGGAAGTTGACCTATTTTCTAAAGTATCTGAGAATAGGACAAGAAGTAACAGATGAAAGATTATTAAGGAGAAAACCAATGTAGAACTAAGAAGACATTTCCTGATGGTGAGAACAGTTAATCACTGGAATAGTTTGTCTCTAGAAGTTGGGTACTCGATCACTGGAGGTTTTCAAGAAGAGACTGGACAACCATTTGTCCAGAATGATATAGGGTCTCCTGCCTTGAGCAAGGACTTGGATTAGAAGACCTCCAAGAATCTTTCCAACTCTGTTATTCTGTTATAGGAAGGCAGGCTAGCAGAACTTTATGCAGACAGATGTCTGAGCAGCTGGGAGTCAAAAGGAATGCAGTAGGTCATTTTTAATTTTTTTATCACACCTTTATTATTTTTATATATAATGCACAGTGAAGAACATATTAATTCTCCTTTCTCCAGTTCCTCCACAATAACAATCCTGAGAGATGAATTGGGCTGAGAGATCGAATGGTCCAAAGTCACCCAGCTGGCTTTCATGTCTAAGGCAGGACTAGAATTAAGACTTCTGGATTCTTGCCTAAAGCCTTAACAACTAGACCAAACTGGCCCTCTCTCTAAAGGCATTTATCTATGAATGGGTATACATACATACAATACATCCACATCCACACCTGTATACCTGTTTGTGTCTGTGTCTATACAGGTATTCCTCATATAGTGACAGCCTTGATTAGTGATAATTTGCAGTTACGGTGGTGATGAAAACCTAACTTTATGACCAGTCCTTGCATTTAAATCTTTGTAAGTCTGCAAAGCAAAGGAAAGCTGAAGTAAGATCATAAGCTCAGTTGCAGTTGCACTTAGCAGCTACTTTGCATAAGGACTATTTTCTGCTTCCAACTGTGGTCGCTAAGCGAGGACCATCTGTATTTGATATCTTTGCTGGAGTAGATATCATTGGTATCTCTGATCTACAATACTGAGGATAGCTATAGCTGGACTTGAACCTGATCTAAGATCTCAGTTGAAGAAACAAGTTATTATTATGAAAACAAAGATAACAACAGGGAAATTCATTTTCTCTAATCATAAAGAACCCCATGTGTTTTTCATATATGAGACAAATACATATTGTCAAGTACATATTGTCCATGCTTTCCAATGCCACGCATGATTGTTCATGCTGATTTCATGAGAACAGAGTTTGCCAGAGTAAACAACAACAACAACAATAATAATAAAATAAATAAAAGAATAAAAGAAACTCAAGATCTTGTGGGACTTTAGGATTCAGACTGACAGGCATTTGGTTCACAACACACCTGACATAACAATAGTTGAAAAGAAAGAAATATGGTTCATTGATATTGCAATACCTGGTGATGCACGGATTGAAGATAAGCAGCAAGAAAAAATCACAAAGTACTGGGACTTGCAAATTGAAGTTGAGCGACTGTGGAAAAAGAAATCGTGTGTTGTCCCTATTGTAATTGGAGCCCTTGAAGCAATACCCAAAGGGCTACCCCGCTATTTAGAAATTCTAAATTTGCCGGACTTGAACATTTTGACTCTACAAAAAACCACCTTACTCGGAACAGCTTACATCCTCCGACAATACCTTAACAGTTCCTAGGTCCTTGGTTAGGACTCGAGCTGCTGAGCTATTAACCAACTTCAAAGGCTGTGAATCTCACTAAAGATTAAATAATAATAATAATAATAATAATAATAATAATAATAATAATAATAATAGCTTTTATTGTCATTGTATACCATGTATACAACGAAATTGATTTAGCCTCTACTGGTGCAATCCATAACAAAAAACACAAGACAATACAGTTCCCAATTTATATAAGTAATTGGGGAAAGAAAAAACTAGTCATACGTTTCCATATGTACGTGGAGTGATTTGATTGTGTTTAGGAGTCTGACAGCCAATAGGTAGAAGCTGTTTTTAAACCTGTTTGTCTGGCTGCCTATACTTCGATGTCTTCTGCCCGATGGTAACAATTGTGACAATTTTCTCTCAGTTTTCTATCATCATAGAAGTTAGGGGAGAAAATGTACTGCAGGAAGCAGGTTCAAAGGAAGAGTTCTGAAAAGTAAGCACCATCTTCAGGCTGATCTTGTCTCCTCAGGACCATTTTGAACATGTTCCTGTTTTCTTTGCAATATAGGAGTGCCACCATCTGGGATTTTTTTTTAACTTCCCACTCTAGCCCACCGCCCTGGTGTAATATGAACATCCAAGTACTAACCAGGCCCATCTTCTTCTTCCTTCTCAGCCCTAACAAAGTCAAGCAGATCCTGAAGATTATATCTTCAGATCAGGAGAAAAGAGAGCAAGTATTTCATCTTTGGTTTGCTCTCTGTCCCTAAGTGTTTCTTATGGTCAAAAGAATAAAAGTACAAAGAGTCAATGTTTTTGAGTTGCATCGAGAATTGGTCACAACCTCAAATAGCACCCCAGATTGGATAGTGCCATTTGGCAGCTTAGAGATGCCAGGTCAACATGAAGATGAGGTTAATGCAGTAGTGAAATGTAAAATTTGTTAGTACCAGTTCTGTGGGCATGACTTGGTGGTGGTGGTGGTGTTGTAATGTGACTGGGTGGGTGTGGCCAACTTTCTTCTTTTTACTTTTACAAGCATTTTTTCTACAACCTTAAGAGGTTGCAGAAAAAAAATGCTTTTAGAAGCCTCTGATGATCAGGCAACTCAGCTGGGATCGCCAGAGGCTTTTAAAGGCATTTTTTTCCCCTACAAACTCTTCGGCTGAAGAGGTTGCAAAAAAAAATGCTTTTAAAAGCCTCTGACGATCCCAGCTGAGCTGCGGGATCATCAGAGGCTTTCTTTTTACTTTTAAAAGCATTTTTTCATCCGAAGAGGTTGCAGGAAAAAATGCTTTTAAAAGTAAAAAAAAAAAAATCCCGCGGCTCAGCTGGGCATTGGGGGGGGCAGGGATCCTTGCTACCGGTTCTCCGAACCACCTGCTGCCATCGCTACCGGATCGGGTGATCCGGTCCGAACCGGGAGCATTTCACCCCTGGGTTAATGGTTTTTCTTTTGACACTTTTTTAATCATTGTGATGAGTGGAAACTAGGGCACCAGGGGCAGGTTTCAAAACCCATTGCTACCGGTTTGCTTGTGGGTGTGCTCGCGCAAGAAGCTTCTGCGCATGCGCAGAAGTGTCTGGGTGGGTGGGCCAATCCGGGGCGAACCGGTAGCAACCCACCACTGTAGGGCCTACTAAATTTCATCAATGGATGCAGCCTCAGTTTTCATAAAATTACATAGGCTGACGAGGGAAATGCAGGAAACAACATTGTTAAGATTAGGTCCCGCTACTCTTCCAATAGACCATGTTAAGGAGGGGAAAAAAGCAAAATCATTCTTATACCTGGTATAGGAGTAAAAAAAAAAAGGGAGGAGGAAATTTTACTCCCTAACCCATTTTTTATTCTGAAGGGGGTTACTCAATTAAGACAGGGTCCTCATCTAGCGAAGGATAGAAAAGTAAACTTAGGCCTAACTCTGTTGTTGTTCAGTCACTAAGTCATGTCCAACTCTTTGTGACACCATGGACCATAGCACCCCAGGCCCCCCTGTCCTCCACTGTCTCCCTGAGTCTGCCCAAACTCATACCCACTGCATCGATGACACTATCTAACCATCTCATCCTCTGTCACTCCCTTCTCCATTTACCTTCACTCTGTCTCAACTTCAGGGTCTTTTCCAATGAGTCCTCTCTTCTCATGGCCAAAGTATTTGAGCTGCAGCTTCCGTATCTGTCCTTCCAAAGGACAGTCAGAGTTGATTTCCTTTAGGGTTGACTGATTTGATCTCCTTGCAGTCCAAGGGACTCTCAATAGTCTTCTCCAACACCACAATTCAAAAGTCATCAATAAGTCTAGTGCTTGATAACAGGGTTTTACTCTAGACCACCTGGAAGTTAAGTTGAGACAGAAATTTTCAGGGAAAGATGTCAATTATGCATGTATCCAGAAGTTACCCAGCTTCAAGGCCAAGATAGGCAGAGCATAAAGTATGTTAAACTACTGTATGGGAAGGATGGGAGAAAAGAAGAAAAGACTTAAGCTACAGCAGATATAATGAGAATAACTAAATCTTCATGATGACAAAGGGCAATTCACTGCTTTAGTGATTCTTTTCTAATATGCAGTAAGATTTACACTACCCAGCTTTTTATGTATTTCAAAGAGCATTGAGCCAAGTACAAGTCAAATCATATCAAATGTTCACAAAATTCTTCTAAAATCTAGCCAGTGAACCTGACTGACAGACAAATTAGGTGCTCATAATTCAATCCTTAGACAAATCAAAGATGGTTATCAAAAGACCTTTCACTCCATGCAACTCTTCAGTGATTCATCCTTCAACCAAATAAAACTGCAATCCAGAGCCATGGCAGTTTACAGAATGATCTCATTTTGAGAGTATAAAGGTAAAGGTAAAATTTCCCCTCGCACATATGTGCTAGTCGTTCCCGACTCTAGGTGGTGGTGCTCATCTTTGTTTCATCTTTGTTTTTAAAGCTGTCCGAAGACATCTCCATAGTCATGTGGCTGGCATGACTAAACGCCAAAGGCACACAGAGCAATGTTACCTTCCCACCAAAGGTGGTCCCTATTTTTCTACTTGCATTTTTTACGTGCTTTCAAACTGCTAGGTTGGCAGAAGCTGGGATAAGTAACAGGAGCTCACCCTGTTACGCGGCACTAGGGATTCGAACTGCTGAACTGCCGACCTTTCGATCGACAAGCTCAGCATCTTAGCCACTGAGCCACTGCATCTTTGTTTTTAGGCTCATTGGTCTGTTTATATTTTCTGGAAATAAAGTTCATTGCGAGTTGAACCTTTAAATTCGCCCACTTGCCAATCCCTTGCTCCAGCATGAGACCCAAATGATTAACAATATGTGTCAATTCAGATGGTTGAACTGAAAGCCCTACACATGGCCCTTGTTCCAGTGCTGGCCCAAGACATTGCACTGTAGCTGAAGTAGCCAGAGCTGACCCTGAGTATTTGCCTCCTTGCTACACAAATATTATAAGAATGCAGGTATATTTATAGCTCATAGTAAATTAATCATCTCTATGAGACATTATGATTTTCTCATTATGCTTAAGTAGGGTTCATGTTAGCCTAATGATAGGGGGAGCTGCAAAATGAGCAATCTCTGTTGGATAACTTCACTAATTTTGTAGCATGTCTAGAGGCTAACTTCAAGAATCCAACTTCATTTGGGTCTCATACTGGAGCGAGGCATTAGCAACTGTGTCTTCCAGTTACGAAATGTGTTATCTCTAATAGGTTAAGCCTTTAGGTCAGAAGTATTCACTGAGTTT